CATATGGTATTTGTGTTTCTATGACTGGCTTATTTCACTTAGCATAATGTTCTTCAGGTCCACACATATTGTCACAAAGGGTAAAATTTTCTTTTTATGGCCAAGTAGTATTCCATTGTATAAATGCCCCATTGTTTTATTCACTCATCTACTGATGGACACTTGGGCTCCTTCTATATCTTGGTGATTGTAAATAATGCTACAATGAACATAGGGGCACTTATGTTCTTTCAAATTAGAGTTTTGGGCTCCTTTGAATATATTCCCAGAAGTGGGATTGCTGGATCAAAAGGCAGATCCATTTTTAATTTTTTGAGGTATCTCCAATTTGCTTTCCACAGTGGCTGCACCAATCTGCATTTCCACCCATAGTACAAAAGGGTTCCTCTTTCTCTGCCATCCCTGCCAGCACTTGTTGTTTATTGATTTATTGATGACAGACACTCTGATAGGTGTGAAATTATATCTTATTGTGGTTTTAATTTGCATTTCTCTGATGATTAGTGACATTGAGCATCTTTTCAAATGCCTGTTGACCATCTGTATGTCCTCTTTGGAGAAATATCTATTCAGGTCCTTTCTCCATTTTAAAATTGGATTTTTTGCTTATTTGGTATTGAGTTTTGTAAGTACTTTATAAATTTTGAATATTAACCCCTTATCAGATGTATAAACAAATATGTTCTCCCATTTTGTGGGCTGTCTTTTAATTCTGTTGATGGTTTCCTTTGCTGTGCAAAAACTTTTGGTTTGATGTAGTCCCATTTGTTTATTTTTTCTTTCGTTTCCCTTGCCTGGGGAGGTATATCAGATTAAAAAATTGCTATGAGAAATATCTGAGATTTTGCTGCCTATGTTTTCTTCTAGGATTTTTATGGTTTGGGGTCTAACATTTAAGTCTTTGATCCATTTGAATTTATTCTTGTGTGTGCTGTAAGAAGGTGGTCTAGTTCCATTTTTCTATACATATTTGTCCAATTTTCCCAACACCATTTATTGAATAAACTATCTTTAGTCCATTGTATGTGCTTGCTTCTTCTGTTGAGTGTGAATTGACTATAAAGGTGTGGGTTTATTTCTGGGATCTCTATTCTATACCATTGTCCTATCTGCCTGTTTTTATGCCACTGCCATGCTGTTTTGATGCCACTGCCATGCTGTTTTGATTACTATGGCCTTATAGTATAGTTTCACATTAGGTATCATGATTCCTCCAACTTTGTTCTTTTTTCTCAGTATTGTTATTGCTATGTGGGGCCTTTTGTGGTGCCATATAAGTTTTTGAAATATTTGTTCTAGTTCTGTGACATATGTCATTGGAATCTTGTTAGGAATTGCATTGAATCTATAGATTGCTTTGGGTAGTATGGGCATTTTAATGCTGTTAGTTCTTCCTGTTCATGGACATGGTATGTGCTTCCATTTATCTGTATCTTCTTCAATTTCTTTCTTCAATGTCTTATAATTTTCCAAGCACAGGTCTTTTATATCCTTGGTTAGGTGTATTCCTAAGTATTTTGTTCTTTTTGAAGCAATTGTAAATGAGATTATTTTCCTTTTCTTTTAGTTTGCTATTGGCATATAAAAAGGTAGAGCTGATCTCCTTTTAAAAAAATTTATGTTTTTAAAAGATTTTTAAAAAATTATTTTTAGGGGGTAAGGAAGGGAGAAAGGGAAAGAAACATCAGTGTGTGGTTGCCTCTTGCATGCCCCCTACTGGGGACCTGGCCTGCAACCCAGGCATGTGCCTTGACTGGGAATCAAACCAGAGATGCCTCAGTTCACAAGCCAGCACTCCATCCACTGAGGTACACCAGCCAGGGCATGATTTCTGGATATTCATTTTATATTTTGCTATTTTGCTGAATTCATTAATCAGTTTTAGTAGTTCTTGTTGGGATCTTTGGGGTTCTGTATAAACAGTATCATGTCATTTGCAAATAATGACAGTTTTACTACTTCCTTTGTAATTTGGATGCCTTTTATTTATTCTTCTTGTCCAGTTGCTGTGGCTAGGACTTCCCAGTATTATGTTGAATAAGAGAGGTGAAAGCAGACATCCCTGTATGTTACTAATCTTAAGGGGAATGCTTGTAGTTTTTGCCCATTGAGTATGATGCTGGCAGTGGATTTGTTATATATGGCCTTTATTATGTTGAGGTATGTTTCCTCTGTTCCCACTTTGCTGAGAGTTTTTATCATATAAATGGGTGCTGGATTTCATCAAATGCTTTCCCTCATATATTGATATGATCATGTGGTTCTTGTCTTTCATTTTGTTTATGTGATGAATCATATTTAATGACTTGCAAATGTTATGCCAACCTTGTATTCCTGGAATAAATCCCACTTGATCATGGTGTATACTCAATTTTTTGATGCATTGCTGTTTTTGGTTTACTAATATTTTGTTGAGGATTTTAGCATCTATGTTGACCAGAGATATTGTCTATTTTCTTTCTTTGTAGTGTCTTTATCCAGTTTTGGAATTAGGATAATGCTGTCTTCATAAAATGAGTTAGGGAGCCTTCCCTCCTCAGAATTTTATGAAATAGTTTGAGAAGAAGAAGTGTTAGTTCTTCTCAGAAGGTTTGATAAAATTCAACTGTGAAGCCATCTCGTCCAGGGCTTTCATTTGTTGGGAGTTTTTTTTTTATTACTGCCTCAATTTTACTAGGTGTAATGTTTCTATTCAGATTCTCTGATTCTTCGTGATTCAGTTTTGGAAGACTGTTTCTAGGAATTTATCCACTTTGTTCAAGTTGTCCAGTTTGTTAGAAAATAATTGTTCACAATATTTCCTTACAATCCTTTGTATTTCTTTAGTGTCAGTTGTTATTTTCCTCTTTCATTTCTGATTTTATTTATTTGGGTCCTTTTTCTTTTTTTATGGGTGAGTCTGGTTAAAGGTTTGTAAATCTTGCTTACCTTTTCAAACAACCAGCTCTTTGATTCATTGATCTTTTGTATCATTTTTTAGACTCTATTTTGTTTTATTTCTGCTCTGATCTTTACTATTTCCTTCCTTCATCTCACTTTGGGCTTTGTTTGTTGTTCTTTTTCAAGTTCCTTTAAGTGTGAAGTTAGATTGTTTATTTGAGCTTTTTATTGTTTTTGAGATAGGTCTGTAATGCTATGAATTTCCCTCTTAGGATGCTTTCCCAGTGTCCCTCAGATTTTGGATTGTTGTGTCTCCATTTACATTTGTTTCAAGGTCAGTGGGGCATTATAATTCCCAACTATGACTGTATTTCTATCAGTATGTCCTTTTATGTCCATCAACGTTTGCTTTACATATTTAGGTGCTCCTATGTTGGGTGTGTAAATGTTTACTAGGGTTATATCCTCTCTTGGATTGTTCCCTTTATCATTATTTAGTGTCCTTCATCTCTTACTATAGTTTTGGTTTTATAGTCTAGTTTGTCAGATATAAGAACTGCTGCCCAAACTTTTTTTTTCCATTTTCATGAAATATCTTTTTCCATCCCTTTACTTTTAATCTGTATGTATCTTTCAATCTGAGGTGGGTTTCTTGGAGGCAGCATATGTATGAGTCTTGTTTTCTTATCCATTCAGCTACCCTATGTCTCTTGGCTGGAGCATTTAAGCCATTTACATTTGCAGTGATTATTGATAGATATGTATGTATGGCCATATTATTATTTCCTTGACCTTGTTTATCTTTTCAAAGAACCATCTCTTGGTTTCCTTGATCTTTTGTGTTATTTTTTAGACACTCTCATTTATTTCTGCCTTGATGTTTATTATTTCCTTCCTTCTACTCACTTTGGACTTTGTTTGTTGTTCTTTTACACGTTCCTTTAAGTGTAAAGTTAGATTTTTTATTTGAGATTTTTCTTGTTTCTTGAGATAGCCTGTAATGCCATGAATTTTCCTCTTAAGACTGCTTTCACTATGTTCCATAGATTTTGGATTGTTCTCATTTTCGTTTGTTTCCAGGTATCTTTTTTTTTAATCTCTGCCTTGATCTCATTGTTAATTAGTTATTTTTTTTTAGTAAGACATTGTTTAGTTTCCATATCTTTCTGAGATTTTCAGTTTTCTTCATGCAACTGATTTCTAGTTTCATAGCAGTATGGTCAGGGAAGATGCTTGATTTCAGTCATCTTGAATTTATTGAGACTTGTTTTGTGTCCTAACATATGATCTATCCTAAAAAATGTTCCATGCGCACTTGAAAAGGATATATATTCTTAGGCTTTGAAACGCTCCAAAGATATTTAAATCCATCTGACCTAGTATGTCATTTTAGTCCACAATTTCCTTGTTGATTTTCTGGCTGGAAGATCTATCCACTGATGTCAATATAGTGTTTAAATCCCCTACTAAGAGCGTATTACTGTTGGTCTCTCCCTTTATGTCCATGAAGATTTGTGTTACATATTTAGGTGCTCCTGTTTGGGTGCATACCATATTTTGCTGTGTATAATGTGCACTTTTTTTGCCCAAATTTTTTAGGGAAATGTAAGGATGCACACTTTACATGGGTAGCACTAATTCCGTATCTATATAAATGTTAATTCTTTTATTTATGATTATGCATTAAAAGTGTATTTCCAGAAAGTAATAACGATATCCGTATGCAAAATAGTACCCTGGAATACAGTAATTGGTTTTGTTGAACTTATGATGAACTTGCAATGAAAGCAGTTTCAGTGAGCAATTCAACAAAATGAAACAAAGGGCAGCATATTATCCACAGAGTAAGATAGATGATACTGATTGTTATCCACTTGATAAGGTAGATTATGCTGACTTTATTACCATAGGGTGAACAGCACAACGTTCCTTTTCATACATTTTAGGCAGGAGAAAAATCCCTTCAAAATTGTTGAAATGGCTTTTGTACACTGCAAGCTTTAAGCTAAATATTATTAAATATGCTATAAAGCATGGCATCAGAGCTGCTGAGAGACACTTTGGACCTCCTCCCACAGAGAGTGTCATCAGACTGTGGAAGCAACAGGAGAAAAGCTTCTTCAGATGCCAAGGCAGAAGAAGGCACTGCGAGGGAAACCCCGAAAGTGGCCAGAGGTGGAGCTGGAGGTGAAGACCTGGATTCTGGAACAGCATCAACCTAGGATCTCCTTTTCAACCAAGGTGATATAAGAAGAAGGTAAAAGGACTGCACAAGAAAATAACATTGATGAGTTCTCAGAGAAACCTAAATGGTGCTTTAACTTTATGAAGAGAGAAAGTTTGAGTGTGAGGACATGAACGAAGCTTGCCCCAAAATTTCCAGCAGCCTATGAGAATCAAGTTTTGGAGTTTCATTCTTACCAGTCTTCAGAAGACTTACAACTTTGAGCTGTCCCAAATCACCAGTGGCATCCCATTCACATTTGATGTGCCATCCAACAGAACTGTGGACATCAAAGGAGCAAAGACTGTGGCTGTTAAAACTAGTGGTCATGAGAAATCACATTTCACTGTCATTCTAGCCTGTTGTGCCAATGGGACAAAGCTACCACCTATGATCATCTTTAAAAGAAAATCATTTCTGAAAGAAAAGTTTCTAAGCAGAGTTATTGTCCACGTGCATGAAAAAGGATAGATGAATGAAAAAGGCATGAAAATCTGGTTTAACAAAGTCTTGTCACAAAGGCCTGGAGGGTTACTTTAAAAACCAGCTTTGCTTATTTTTGATCACTTCAAAGTCCATGTTACATAAAGTGCAAAAACAATCACAGCAGACTTGAAAACTCAACTTGCTGTGATATCTGGTGGGCTAACCAAACAATTGCAACCTCTTGATGTGTCAGTAAACAAGCTGTTTAAGGCTATAATGAAGAGAGTGGATGTCATGGGTGCCATCACCTGGTAATGATTTAACACCTACAGGCAGAATCAAGAAAGCATCCATCACCCAGGTTTGTAATTGTATCCTAAGATTGTGGAACAATGTCAAGGAGGGAGTGGTTGTGAAATCATTTTAAAAAAATGTGGCATCAATAATGTTATGGATGGAACTGAAAATGAAGAAATGTACTGGGATGAGGAAAATGGCTCTTCACAAGACACCTGTAATGTAGAAACTGAAGAAGACAATGCTTCTGATAATGACAGTGACAAGGAGTTCTTGGCCTTCTATCTTATATAAGTATAGGTTTGTTACCGGTACATACAATTGTACCTTGTATCTGATCTTGTGTTTTGTAATTATTTGTCATACAAAATTTCTTATACCATAACATGTTAAAAAATAAAGGCTAAAATTTCTTTGTAATACAAAAAAACAAGTATCTAAATATAAATAAGTAAATAAATAAATAAATAAATAATTAAAACAAAAGATTTTTTTCCTGAAAGTTTGGGCCCAAAATGTGGGTGTGCATTGTACACTGCAAAATACAGTAAATGTTTACAAGGGTTATATCTTCTTGTTGGATTGCTCCCTTTATCATCATGTAGTATCTGTCTTTGTCTCTTACTATATATAGCCTTTGTTTTAAAGTCTACTTTGTCAGATACAAGTATTGCTACCCCAGCTTTTTTAAAATTTCCACTTGTGTGAAATATTTTGTCCATCCATTTACTTTTAGTCTGTGTGTATCTTTCCTTCTGAGGAAGGAAAATATGCTGTAGACAGCATATACTTGGGTCTTTTTATCTTATCCATTCAGTTACCCTCTGACTTTTGATTGGAGTTTTGCACCATTTACATTGAAAGTGGCTTTTGATAGGTATGCATTTGTTGCCATTGTATTCTTTTAATGATGTTCCTCTCCCTCTTCTCCTTCTTTGCTCCTCCTCCTTCTTTTTCTTTTTCTTCTTCCTCTTCCTCTCCTGGAAGACCCTTTAACATTTCTTTTAACACTGGTTTGGTGGTAACAAATTCCTTGAGCTTTTTTTTGTCTGTGAAACTCTTTATTTCCCCTTCAATTTTAAATGATAGCCTTGCTGGGTAAAGTAGTCTTGGTTGCAGGTCCTTGCTTTTCATCACTTTTAATATTTCATGCCAGTCCCTTCTGGCCTGAAATGTTTCTGTTGAGAAATCAGCTCATAGTCTTATGGGAGCTCCCTAGTATGTAACTGTTTTTTCTCTTGTAGTTTTTAACATTCTCTTTTTCTCTTTAATCTTTGCCATTTTAATTACGATGTATCTTAGTATGGGCCTTTTTGGGTCTATCTTGTCTGGGACTTTGTGAGCTTCCTGGATTTGTGTGTCTTTGTTTTTTCACCAGGTTAGGGAAGTTTTTGTTCATTATTTCTTCAAATAGGCTCTTGATCCCCTGTTCTCTCTCTTTCCCTTCTGGTGCCCCTGTGGTACAGATGTTGTTACATTCCACAGTGTCCCAAAAGTCCCTTAAACTATTCTCACCTTTGTGAAATTCTTTTTTTTCTTTTTTGCTGCTCTGATTGAGTGTTTTTTTTTCCCTCCCTTGTCTTCAAAATCACTGACTTGGCCCACTGCTTCATCCAATCTACTATTTATTCCTCCCAGGGTATTCTTCATTTGAGATATTATATTTTTTCTTTATGATTTGTCCTTTTTAATGGCTTTTATGCCTTTTTTTCTTGTGTTCAGCATCCTTATAACCATTACTTTAAACTCTATGTCTGATAAATTGCTTGCTTCCATTTCATTTAGCTCTATTTTTGGAGATTTCTCCTGTTCTTTTATTTGAGGCCTGTTATTTTGGCTGCCTCTTTGTGTTTGTTTCTACATATTAGATAGATATGCTATGCCTCCCAGTCTTTGTGGGGTTGCCTTATGCAGTAGGTATCCAGTGGGGTCCAGTGGTGCAGTCTTCTTTATCACCTGAGAGAGGTACTGCAGGAATGTCCCTTGGGTGGGGTTATGTGGGTTCTCCTGTTGTAACTGAGTCTTCATTGCTATTGGTCCATTTGTACATGGGACTGACCCTCAGCCTGGCTGATTCTGAGGCTCAATGCTGACCACAGAGTTCGACCTGCTGTACAGGTGCTAACCACATAAAACAGAATTTGCCTCAGCAGGGTTTGGTGCCTGCTGAGATCTCCTTTTGGATATGCTGCTTGTGAAGCTTATTGGATCCTGGTCTGATGTCTGAAGCTGGCCTCTGGATCTTTGGTTCCCTGGTTCTGGACCTCTTGGGAGAGACTCTGGTGCAGGCCAACGAAAGATACTGATTGTGGCTGGCCCTTGACAGCTTATTTGGAGCCACAAGTGATGTACAGTTTGTGACTGCCTCTGCTGGGCCTGGGGATGTACAAGATCAAGCTGCGCACCAAGGCTGGCTTTTACCAGCACCAGACTCAGAAGCAAATTCTCAAGGCACCCCCCCCATGAAATCCACCCTCACTTGCCTGCTCCTGCTGGCTGCCTATTAGGCTCAGTCACGTAAAAGAGCTTCTGGCTGTACTCCTCAGTAGGGCGTAAGCTCCACTGGGTGGGGTGAGAGGGAGTCCAGGGGGTGGGCTATACTGCACTGGGGAAATGCTCCACCCAAGAAAGATGGATGGTGTCTGGGGTATGGAAGAATGCCTCAACAGAGGTATTTTGATAGCTGTCCCTTTAGCTCCATCCCCAGATCCATAGACTCTCCTCAGGGGACTCTAGTCTTCTCTGCCTTCCCTCCTCCAGAGGCCAGGGTGAGTGACTGAACAAAATTTTGTGCATTGGCCCTTTAAGAAGGTGCCTGTGTCTCTAGTAGATTCTCTCTTCTCTGTGGTATACAGAAACCTTTGCACAGCCAAATATTATGTGGGAACCTCTTCCTGGCTCTGGGGCTTTAGGCTGGGGAGCCAAGCTTGGGATTTAGACCCCACACTTCTCAGGGGAGAACCCCTGCAGTTGAGATATTCCTCTGGAACCTCAGCTGTTGCCAGTAGGAGTGGGGCTATCCCCTTTTGTGTCTCTGCCCTTCCTACTAGTCTTCATGTGGCTTCTGTAAACTCTTGGCTATAAGGCTTCGCTTCAGCTAGACTTCAGTTGGTTATTTAGGATGATTATTTTGTAATTTAGTTGTAATTCCAGTTTTGTCCTGGGAGGAGGTGAGTGTAGCTTTCACCTACTCTGCCACCATCTTGGATCTCTATGTGTGCAGATTTTTAATTACAGATTTAATTTCTTCAACAATAAGTGTAGAACTGTTCAGATTATTTTTTGTGCCAATATTGAATGAGTTTTTAATGGATTTACCTATTTCATCTAAATTTTCAGAAGTTTTGGCCAATATTTGTTTGTAATATTGTCTATCAGTTTATGCATCTAAGATCTGTAGTAGTAGCTCACTTTTCATTGCTGATATTGGTTTTGCAGTTCCTTTCTCTATTTTCTTGACCAGTCATGGTAGGACTTTATCAACTTCATTCATATTTTTAAAGAACCAACCTTCAGTCTTTTGATTTTTTTATTGTACTTTTGTTTCTTATCCAATTGATTTCTGGTATTTGAAATGCTTGGTTAGAGCTCTAGTTTTTATCCTTTTTTCCCAAAATACATAATCAGGCTAAATTTCTCACTAAGCATAATATACCTCATCTCACAAGTTTTGATAAGTTATATTTTCATTTTCAGTCAATTAAAAATACTTTATATTTTCAATTATGATTTCTTTTTCACTCATTGGTTATTTAGACATTTCAGTGTACAATTTTCAAGTATGTAGGAGCATTCTTACTCTTTGTCATATGTGGCCAGCTTAATTTTAAAGATGAAAAATGTGATTCGATTCCTTTAACATTTGTGGCCTAGAATATGGCCAATTTTGACATATGAATGTAAAAAGAATATATGTTCTAAAGTTGAGTGCTGTGTTCCTTATGCAGGGTGGGGCAAAAGTATGTTTATAGTTGTTCATTTGGAAAATAATACAATGATTAACAAATAATAATATAGAAATAAACTCTGTGTTTTGTGTACTCACAACTATAAACCTTTTTTTGCCCCACCTTGTGTATGAGTTGGATCAAGTTTATATCACATAGTTCAAACCTTCTATATCACTACTAAATTTTCGTCTGCATGTTTCATTGTGGATTTGTCCACTTTAACACTTAATACTCTCAGGTGTTGCTTTATATATTTTTAGGTTTGTGTAAACTTAGGATTATTATATCTTCCTATTGAATTGACCATTTAATAAAATGTCTTTTTTAGTCTCCTTTAATACTGTTGACCCTATTTTACTTTCTATTATTAATATAGCTACTATGCCAGTTTTCTTTTGGTTATCATTTGCATGATATTTTTCCACATTTTTACTTTCAAGTTTTCTATATTCTTTTATTCGAAATGAGTATCTTTTAAGCACTATATATTTAGGTATTTCTTTTTCGTATTAAGCTTGAAAACCTTTGTCTTTTAATTGGAATATGTAGTTGATTTGCATTTAATGTAATTATTAATATAGCTGGGTCTAAAATATTTCTATTTTTTTTACTTGTTCTGTCTTTTCTTTGGTTCTTTTTTTCTTGCTTTAGGATTCACCAAATATTTAAAAAGTTATTTTTCCATTTCTCCCTCTAGTATCTTATTAGATATGCATTCTGTTGTTATTCTTTTATAATTTGCTTTAGAAATTACAACATTAATTCTCACTCATTAGGATACAATATAAATTTGTGCTTGTATCATTTCCTATGCAATGCAGCAAACTTAATAACCTTGTAGCTCCTTGTAGTTCTCTTCCATCTGTTGTGCTGTGGTTATCAGGGTTTTTTTTATTCCATGTATATTTTAAGCTCCATGAGACATTATTTTAAAACACTCTCAATATTAATTTAGTTTTACCCACATTTTACTTTTCTAGTGCCTTTTTTTTTTTTTACCTCCACTACATTCCTTCTATTTGGGATCATTTTCCTGCTGCCTGGAGAATTCTCTTCAGTATTACTTTTAGTGTGCTCTACTGTGGCGAATTCTGTTTTCATTGGAAAATATCTTTATTTTTGCCTCCATCTCTGAAGGATATTTTCATTGTACTATATAGAATTCTATATATATAGTTCTAGATTGGCAGTCATTTTCTGTTAGTGCTTTAATGATGGCCTTCCATTGTCTTCCAGCTTCCATTATTTTTATTAAGTTAATGTGGGTGCTTTGATTGTTGCTTTGAAAGTAATGTATCTTTTTCTTCCCTGGCCATTTTTAATATTTCCTCTTTGGTTTTTAGTAATGTTTTCTTGTGAAGTGCTTAGGTTTGGTTTTCTTTATATTTATCCTGTGTGGGGTTTGAAGATATTTTTGTTTGTTTTTGTCTTTTATTAACCCATATGTCTTTTAGTTTTTGTCTTTTATTAACCCACTTGTCTTTCATTTTATTGAAGCAACAGGTTAGACAACCTTTGCCACAATAATGTCTGTCAAAGTGGCTGGCCATAAAAACTCCAGCACCACATTCATCAGAAAGGCACTCCTGACAAAGGCAACTGATGTTGTTATTCTCATCCACTTTGTAGTGTTTCAGGAGAGCCAACTCAGCCTTCTTTCTCTTGTGCTTATTCTTCTTGGGAGCAGTGTAAGATAACTTCTTCCTTTTCTTAGCACCATCACAAAGTCTCAAGACAAGATGAAAAGTGGACTTCTTTTGAGTGTTATAGCCATGTAAAGTATTGTGTTGGCCAAAAAGCTCATTTGTTTTTTTCTGTAAGATGGCCATAGTAGCATTTAGTTGTCTTTAACTTCATTCAAAACAATTTTTAAAGATTGTATTGTGACAACTGTCATATCAGCATGCATTTCAAAAAACATCAAAATTCAGCCCTGGCTGGCATAGCTCAGTGGATTGAGCACGGGCTGTGAACCAAAGTGTTGCAGGTTTGATTCCCAGTCAGGGTACATGCCTGGGTTGCAGGCCATGACCCCCAGCAACCGCACATTGATGTTTCTCTCTCTTTCTCTTTCTCCCTGTCTTTCCTCTCTAAAAATAAATAAAATCTTTTAAAAAAAATAATCAGCTTCTTATGAAATAAATATTATAAAAAATCATCAAAATTGGTGAATTTTGTGTAGCCATTTTAACATTGGAGATGGAAGAAAATACACAACATCTTTGGTATATTATGTATTATTATTTCAAGAAAGGTAAACCCACAGCTGAAATGCAAAAACAAAGATTTGTGCAGTGTATGTAGAAGGTGCAGTGACTGATCAAATGTGTCAAAAATGGTTGTGGTATTTCATGCTGGAGATTTCTTGTTGGACATTGTTCCATGGTCGGGTAGAACAGTTGAAGTTGATAGCGATCAAATTGAGACATTAACTGAGGACAATTGATTTTATACCACATAGGAGATAGATGACATACTCAAATATCCAAATCAAAAAGTTATTGGTAAAAATGAAAAATTTGTCATTCATTTTACAGAAAAAAACCATCTGGACTTTTTGGCCAACACAATATGTCCATATTGCAGTTGCTTGCCAACAAAGATCAGTCTTTGCTGATCAGGAGGAATTCCTTCCTTATCCTGGATCTTGGCCTTTACATTTTCTCTTGTATCTGAGGGTTCAGCCTCAAGAGTGATTGTCTTCCCTGTAAGGGTTTCCACAAAAATCGGCGTGTTGGTGGCTGTTCTACCACAGATGGCTAATGACCTTCTTGAATTTGTTGCTTGATGTCTTTCATCAGTCTTGGAAAGTTTTCATTCAGTATTTCTTCAAATACAGCTTATGCTTCTGCCTCTTTTTTTTCTTTGGAATCTCCGTTTATATAAATGTTAGAATTTTTCACCATGTCTCATAAACCTCTTACACTCTTTTTTGTATTTTTCCTTTCTTTTTCCTTTGTATAGATATATTTCTGTGGACCCATCTTTCATTTTTTTAGTTCTCTCTTCTGTTGCGTCTAATAGATTATTACCCTTTCTAGTGAATTTTTAATTTCACAAATTTTATTTTTAATTGTAGTATTTTAATTTGATTCTTTTATATAGATTCAAAATCTTCATCTTGTCATCTCTTAGACATATTAATAATAAGTACAATTATTCTTATCAAGAGGGTTAATCTGATGTAAACTACTCAATTATAGCAGTAAGCAGAAATATCACCTACATTACTTACAGAATAGGAGGGAATCTGGATTATTGTATGAAATCTCTTGGATTTTACATGTTGCTTACTAATTTAAATATTCTCAAAACACCCTAAGAAGCCCATTAAGACATTTTTTCATCCAGTTTGTGACTTCTCACCTAGATAAAATGAAAGTTGGAAGTGAGCTTTCTCACAGTCTCTCCTCATAGACCTGACTACCTGTTTACCAGATTACCTGACTACTAGGGAAAAGATTCCCTGGGCTAAGGAGAAAGGCAGAGAGGTAGGGAGTTGGAGGGGAAGTAATAGTGGTCTAGATGTTAATGTGGCTTAGATAGAGGGGCTTTATAAGGTCCTGGGAAGCAGATAAAAAATCTAGATGGTTTTATAGCTCTGCAGACACAGAGAGAATGTGAGAGCAGAGGGGATGTACCGCTCTTTGGGTGGGATTAGTAGCAAGATACCATAAAAGCAAGTTTCAGAGTCTAAGCATACAGCTTATGCCACATACAGCCTGTAGAGGTCCCCACATGGGGCAAGGGCATAGCTAAGAGAGCCCTCAGCCTTGAAGAGCCAGGGAAAGAGGAAGGCAGGATGTCTTAGCAATGACTTGATGAACTCTGACCTCACCCACCATCACTCTTCCTTTGGCTACTCCTCAGTTCCTCTGCCTCCCCACTCTTTAAGCAGACAGCCATGTCAGGGTCTAGCCCTCTCCTGGGAATATTCTTCCTTCAAATGTCAACGTGGCTCTTTATCTCAATTTATTCAGGTGTTCATGAAGCTTTACCTTCTCAGAGCATGCTCAGATGGGCCATCAGGATGATCACACCTTCCCTAAGGCAGCTCATAACCACATACAACCTTTCCTTTTCTATCCCCAATTCCCTGCTCTATTTTTCTCTTTAGCAATTATTGTGAAATCACCTACTCACTAAGATGTATTTGTAACCCCTAAATCAATACCCACAGTGCTTTTATAGTCATTTACAGACAAGCACAGAGTGATGAAAATATTGAGTCACCTAACAATGCACATTCCTAGCTGAGGCTGAACGAGGTGACATTCTGCCTTCCTGTTTCAGCTCTCATACTATTAAGTGTCCTTTTTACAGTGTTTTTGTGCCACTTTATTTTGCATGTTTTGCTTTTTGGGGTGATTTTGCTGTATAAAATAGCTCCCAAACTAAGTGCTGAAGTGCTGCTTAATGTTCCTAAGTGCAAGAAGTCTGATTTGCCACATAGGGAAAATACATGTTAGATAAACTTTATTCAGGCTAGAGTTATAGCTGTTGGCTACAAGTTCAATGTTAATGAACCAACAATATATATTAAAGTGGCTTTAAACAGAAACACACCTAAAACAAGGTTATATATTGGTCAGTTGACAAAAAGCTTATGACCAAGGGCTTGTAGGACACTAACCCTGTATTTCTCCTGGGAGCAGTGTTTCAGTATTTGCCAGTTCAGTGACTTAAAAAAAAAGTTTTCATTTTCTAAAAAAATAACTACTGTGAAAAATGAGAATCTACTGCATCTGACAATATGTATTATATGTTTAATTTTTATCTATCTCTTCCACTAGAAGGGAAGCTTAAAGAGGGCAGAGGCTTTGTGTGGCCTATTCACTGATTAGAATAACGGCCAGCACATGATAGGCATTCAGGAAACATTTGTGAAATGAGAGATGAAGGCAGATCAAACCTGCATAGCAATTACTTTTCATTTCAGGACTAAGGAATTAGGAAAGGGTTTGGGAAGGGGGGAGGTGATGAAAATATTTATATCTTTTATTTTTAAAGATTATATTTATTTATTTTTAAAGAGGGGAATGGAGGGAGAAAGAGAGGGAGAGAAACATCAGTGTGTGGTTGTATCTTGCACACCGCCTACTGGGGACCTGGCCCACCACCCAGGCATGTGCCCTGATGGGAATTGAACTGGTGACCCTTTGTTTCCAAGGCCAGCAATCAATCCACTGAGCCACATCAGCCAAGGCAGAAAAAATATTTATTGTTTAAAAATTAATTGAGTTATGCAGATTATCTGTGGGAAGAGCCAAGGTCCTGAGACAGGAGCACTTTGCTTTGTATTCAGGGAACAGGAAGAAGGCCAGCATGGCTGGAGGAGTTAGTGGGGAGGGATAGGAAGTCAGAATGGTAACCAGAGGATTTGTTCACCTCTTCATCCCTAGTACTAAGAAATGTGCCCAGAACATAATAGGTATTCAGGAAAAGTGTGTTGAATGTTTACATGTTACATTTTAATGCCAAAGCATGGGGGTGGTAGGGAAATCCTGAATAGACAAATTAAGTTTTCTCCTTTCCCAGCAAAGTGGAGGGCTTGCAAGAGAAATTAAATAGGGTTGTTAACTTGTCACAAAACAAGTGGGGATGATGACCTTACATACCCATGAGGTGTACTCCAGTTCATTCTGCTGCCCAGGGCTGCAGCATGAGTGTCATGGGTGACCTCACAATGTCCAGGGTGGTGCCCAGCCTACTGCCACAGTCCTAGTCCACCATGCTGTCCATCCTGTGGCTGCTGCTCAGCTTTGTGGTCTCTCTCCTGGGGTTCTATGTTTCCATCAGCTGTCCCCATGGCAAACAATGCCAGAGGGCCCTGCTTTCCAACAATGATATCTTTCTGCACTGCAACTCCCCTGGGGCACAGTGGTACTACTTCCTTCAAGACGGGACCAACTGGTCCAGCCCTATCCGCAGTGTTTCAAACATAGAAACAATGCCTGAAGGCGGCATTCTCATTAGAAGTCCATTGCCATCCCAGACGGGCGTGTACACCTGTATTGACAAGAAAGGCATCCAAGTGGTACAGTACGAGATTGACTTTCAGGACGTTGGCACCTTGCACATTACGCACAGAGGTCTGGGCCAAGCACCCTTGCAGAATGAGACACTGAGTCTTGGCCAAAAGGAGCTCATCTTCACCCAATGGGAGCCCTGGCAGGACTGTAACTACTGTGGGGAGCCAGGTGAACGCAAACGTCTGGGGTACTGCTACATCCAGGAGCCCCTGGAGAAACCCACCCCCTGCCAGCTCTACCTGGGAAGTGCTATTCTGTGGTCCAACCGCATGCGGCCTGAGATGCAGATAGAAGCCTGCCATGTCCAATGTAAAACATCAGATGTGAAGAATGTTTTTTTTGACAACTTCGAGCTCAGTGAAGAGTCAGGATCTGCATGGCTCACCTGCCCCTTCGGGTCCATCTATAGGTATGGAAGTGTGCACCAGCCCTGCCCTTGGTCCCTAGCCAAGCTCTCTCAGTCTGAGAGCCTTGATGGTTAACCCATGCAGACAAGAAGGGGATCTAGATGGGTCAGCCCCACAGTCTCTCTCCACTGGCTCCTTTGGCAAGAATCCCCTAGTGCCCACACACTGTTGCTTTACCAGGTAGAACAAGGACAGAAAATACTCAGGGAGGGCTCGGCTGACTGTGCCCATCCCTGTGCTGGGTGATGCTGTGGACATGGTGGTCATCAGACTTCCTGCCCTCAGGAAGCCACCAACTCAGAGGGAGGCAGCCCAGAGTGGTCAGGGCTGGGATGGGAGAAGCCCAGGCCAGTGGAGGGGCTGTGGGGCTCTGAGGCCTCTGACTCACTTGGGATGGTCAGTGGGCTCCAGGGGAGGGGAGGATGGTGCCTGAGGCATGCCCTCCAGGGCCTGCCTCCTGCAACTCACATTCATATTCTTCCTGCCTGGAGCCCCCAGGGAGTCTCACCATTGGCCTCCTCTACCCCAGTAGTAAGAACTAGAACCACTCATGGTTTCAATGGGGGCCAGCCCTGGGCAAACTCTCTTTCTGAACTGCATCCTCTCCCATCCCTTATCCCTGGCTCCAGGAGCTGTGGACTCCAAGGAAGTCCATCTATAGATGGGGAAACTGCAGCTTGGAGGAATGCACTCCTTGACCAAGGAGACTCGTGGTGAGAAGTGGCAGTGCAGACCCTTAATCTCACATACACCATGGAGTCCTCTTGCCCTTTTTCCCCATGCACCCCAGCAGTAGCCTCTTCCTTGCAAGAGGAGAGCCCTTGCAACCTCTTGGGGCCTCCGCAGCTATAGGTTCTGTGGGATCTGGTCTCACCAACTGCCTCTGGTTTTCTTTTCTTTATTTATGCCAGCTGTGATTCTTATTCCTCTCTTTTTCTCATTCTCATATCGTTTGTCTCATTTCCTCCTTTCTTCCTCCCCTTTGAAGTATAAAAATAACACCCACTCCCTAAAAAATACCACAGTTCAGAAGTGCAGGAAAATGCACTATGGATTCCTCCTCCCAAGGAGACTGGGACACCTAGTTGTCATTTACTAGACAAGGAGTTCCCAAGTGCCAGTCACTGGGAGCTTGAGGGAAGAGTGAAGAAAGGTTACTGAGGCTTTAAGGATAGCCCATGTGTCTAGGCAGCTGAGTGGAGTGGCTCTTTGTGTGAGGTTTGTGTGAGGTTTGTCTGAATGGAGAGATCTCAAGCTCTGAGTTCAGCCAGGCGTGGGTTCCAATTCTGGTGCTACGATTTTCTAGCTGTGTTCCTGTGGTGTTTCTCTAGGCCTCAGTTTCCCTGTGTAGAATAGGGGTTGTATTAGTTTGCTAGGTCTGCCATTATAAAGTATCACAGACCAGGTGGCTTAAAACAACAGGAATTTATTCCCTTACAGTTCTGAGGCTGGAAGTCAAAAAGCAACTTGTCAGCAGGGCCATTAGCTGTCTCAGATGCTGGATAGGATCCTGGCTTCTTCCTGGCTTCTAGTAGTGGCCAGCAATCCTAAGCCTTCCTTGGTTTATAGCTACATCATTCTAATCTCTGACTCCACTATCACTTGGCGTTAGCCCCGTGTGTGTGTCTGTGTCTGTGTCTATGTCCATGTCTGTGTCTTACCTCCTAATAAGGACACAGGTCAGGTCATATTGGATTAGGGCCCACTCTACTGCAATGACCCTATTTCCAGAGAAGGTCACATTCTGACTTTCCATTAGAACATGAATTTGGGGAGGGCACTATCCAATTCAGTACAGAGGTCTTGCTAGCCCTGGGCTCAGGGGGTAATTGTGCTGCCTGAGGGGGCAAATGCCTGGGAAGACACAGCAACATCTGACAAACTTCCACACTGATAGGTGTTAGTTATCCCTTGTATGATTGTTTGCCTTGCCAATGTTGTCCTTTGAGTGTCTCCTCTGTTTCTCAGCTACAATGGGTGTGTTATATGGCTGATTCACTTATTCACTTCCCACATTATTCACTTACAGTATTATTCACTTACCATTGAGCATTTATAAGTCAAACACTGTTCTGGGTACTTGAAATGCAGTGCAAAACAAAACTGAAAAAGATTCATGCCCTCAAAGAGTAATAATCACATGAACGAAATATTCAGTGTTTTAAATAATTTTTAAAAATATTTTACTTATTTTTATTTATTTATTTTTTAATACCAGTTTTTTAAAAAAGATTTTATTTATTTATTTTTAGAGAGAGGGAAAGGGAGGGAGAAAGAGAGAGAGAGAGAGAAATGTCAATGTGTGGTTGCCTCTCACATGGCCCCCACTGGGGACCTGGCCTGTAACCCAGGCATGTGCCCTGACTGGGAATTGAACCAGCAACCCTTTGGTTTGCAGGTCAGCAAACCAAACTGAATCCACTGAACCACACCAGCCAGGGCAATATTCAGTATTTTAGATGGTGATAAAAGCAGTGAAGGGAGATGGGAGTGGGTGAGGCAGAAGTTTTAAATAAGGAGATCAGGGACAGCATCTCTGAGGTGTCATTTCAGCCAAGACTGAAAGAAGGTGAGGGAGCCAAATACATTCCCGGCAGAGGAAGCACCCTGGGCAAAGGACCTGAGGCAGGACCATGCCCAGCTTGTCAGAGTAACATCAAGGAGGCCAGTGTGGCTGGGGCAGAAGTAAGGGGGAGAGTGGAAGAAATGAAGCCAGGCAGGTAAGGGGGCACAAACCATTTAGAGAGCACTCTTGCTAATCCCTCAGTCCCTAAATAATTCTCTGAGGTAGGTACAATTACTACACCTCCAGTGTTCAGATGTGGAAATGGAAGCTCAAGAAGTGGAAGCTTTTGGCCAGGTAACAAATTCAGTATATAGTATGGCTCCAAAAACTCCCAGCTGCCCTGCCCCACCCTCCCCTTGCTCACTGCTGCATAGTGATCCTCAGAGAGGGCGCTGTTTGCTCCTTCCCAGGGAGGAGGATGCTGCTGTCTCCATCTCCTTCAGACATTTGTTCCTTTTCTCCAAGGGTGCTATAGCTGACCTTGCCCTCCTTTGCAGGCCTGTCATCTGGGAATCCAACAGCACACCCCTGACCTGGCAGGGCCAGCTCTCCGGCCAGGATGTGAGCACTGTCCTGGACCCTTCCAGTGGCGGCAGGCGACTGCAGGTCTTCCAGCCAGCCATTTACAGGTGCTTCGTGCAGCAGGAGTTCATGGCTCGGTTCAACCCCAAGCCCAATTTGGATACACTGGAGGTTCTGCTGAGAGAGGAAGCTAGACAACAGCAGGAGGCAAGGGAGACCTGGAAAGAGAAGGACTCCATCCTCCAGAAGCTGAAACTGATGTTGCTGGTGGGCACTGTCCTGGGCCTGTCTGGGGTGCTGCTGAAGCTCTTTTGCTCTTCACAGAGTAAAAGAAGCAATCAGGTGCTACTGGTGAAATAAAGTAAACCCACAGTGCTCAGGAGACCTGGCCTCCTATATCTTCATTGCCTCAACTGTTGTTTCCATAGCCTATTCCCTGTACCTGCCCCACACCACACTCTGAATGCATGTGGGCCACACAACCATGGCCACAGCTAAGGGTGACTGAGCTCGTCCCTCTTCCAGGTCCTTCTCTGTTAAGTCATTAGCATTCTCCATTCCACAGATGAGAAAACTGAGGCAAGCCTACCTGTCTAGTAATTGGAGGGGGGCTTCAGTTCAAACCCAGGTCGCCTGGCTCAAGCCTTGTGTTTATCACAAGAAAAAAGGAGAGGTAGAAGGAGGCCATTTTGGGTGTGAATGTCTGTGGTTGGTAAACTGTAGTCACTCCACTCACTGCAGTACCCTAAAGACAAGGACTGAGACAGGGATGGGAGTGGGTAGCTCCTAGGTCCCCCAAGATCTGCACTGGTCTGCTGCCTTTCCTTGCCCTAGTTGTGCCTATGGCCTTTAGGCTTAGCTGTCAATATATCTCCCCAAGTTAGGAGATGCTGCCACATTGGTGACCCAGTACAGTGGGATACACACCACCCTTCCTGGCTTTTGCAGTGGAAAGAACCACCTCAGAACCTGAGATTGGGAGACAGGTCCCTTCACTGGAACAAGGGACAAGGCCTGGTACAGGCCACACATAGAAATCACCAGGACTAACTGACCCAGAAATTCTATACACTGTTTAACAGAGTGCAAGAGTGAGAAATAAAATATTAATGCCTCATCAAATTCATTGCCCTATAGTTCATTATGGCCCAAAAAGTCTTGTAGGCTGGGTGACACTTCTGGTCAAGATGGATGCATAGGTGGACATGCTTCACCTCCTTGCACAACCACAAAAAAAATAATAAAAGAATTACAACTAAATCTCAAAACAGGTAACACCCAGAACTGTCAGAAAATAGAACTTTATGTAAATCCAACCACCAAGGATTTAAAGAAGCCACAATCACCCAAATGGGTAGGAGCAGCAGAGATGGGCAGAGAGGTGAGGAGACTCTGTATGGCACACAGAGGCAGTGGCAGCGACAGAATGAACACAAACAGTCCCACATTCATGTGTGGTGGATAAAAACTGGGAGGGATACCTTGGGAGGGAGCAATCTCAGCCATAGGCCAGATCACACAGCCCAGGACTCCGGGGCTGGGAAGATAAATCCCCATAACTTCTGGCTATAAAAAACTGGGGATTGGGGTGGCAGAAGAAACTCATGGATTTTCAGGACACTTCACTTAAAGGGCCTGCACAGTCTTAACATATATGCAGGCATACCCACTCTGGGATTCAACACCAGGGCAACAGCTGGAAGGGTGCCAGTCACATATGGGGAGTGGGTGAAATGACTGCAAATGGGGTGTCTGGCAAACCCTCAGAAGCCAGGCAGTGGTACAGCCCCCTCTCCAAGCCCTCCCGTCATACAGAGTCACAAAGAGGTGAGGTGGGTTGCCCCACCCTGGCAATTAACTAAGTCTCTGCTCCACACAATTTACAGGTGCCTTTTACAGAGAGTCAAAGAAGCTCTACCTAATACACAGAAACAGAAGGAGGCTATCAAATTGAGGAGACAAAGAAATATGGCCCGAATGAAAGAACAGAACAAGACTCCAGAAAAGGACTAAACAAAAGAGAGATAGCCAACCTATCAGATACAGAGTTCAAAACACTGGTAACCAAGATGCTCAAAGAACTCACTGAGTAAGGCAATAATATAAAGGAAGAAATGAAGGTTCCACTAAGTGAAATAAAGAAAAATCCACAGGGAACCAACAATGAAAGGAAGGAAGCAGGGATTCAAATCAATGATTTGGAACATAAGAAAGAAATAAACATTCAACTAGAAGAAAAAGAAGAAACAAGAATTCAAAAAAAAAAAAAAAGGAAAAGATGAAGCTAGTATAAGAAGACTCTGGGACATCTCCAAAAGTGCCAACGTCCAAATCAGGGATGCCAGAAAGAGAGGAGGAAGAGGAAGGAATTAAAAACTTACTTAAAAAATAATGAAAGAAAACTTCTCTAACTTGGCTAAAGAAGTAGACATACAAGTCCAGGAAGCACAGAGAGTCTCAAACAAGTTGGACCCAAACAGGAACACACCAAGACACCTCATAATCAAAATGCCAAAGCTTAAAGATAGAGCATTAAAAGCAGCAAGGGAAAAGGAGACAGTTACCTGCGAAGGAGTTCCCATAAGACTATCAGCTGATTTCTCAAAAGAAACTTTGCAGGTAAGAAGGGACTGGCAAAAAGTATTCAAAGTGATGAAAAGCCAGTACTTACAACCTAAATTATTCTATCCAGCAAAGCTATCATTCAGAACAGAAGCACAGATAAAGTGCTTCCCAGACAAGGTAAAGCTAAAGGAGTTCACCATCATCAAACCATTATTATATGAAATGTTAAAGGTAATTGTTTAAGAAAAAGAAGAAGATAAAAATTGTGAACATGAAAAAGGCAACAAATTCACAACTATCAACAACTGAATCTAAAAAAAGAAAAGAAAGAAAAGAAACAAGCAAACAACAAGAACAGGAACAGAATCATAGACATGGAGATCATTTGGAAGGTTATCAGTTAGGAGGGGGAAGGGGGAGAATGGGGGAAAGGTGCAGGGATTAAAAAGCATAATTGGTAGGTACAAAATATACAGGGTGACGTTAAGAATAGTGTAGGAAATGGAAAAGTCAAAGAACTTATATACGTGATCCATGGACCTGAACTAAGGGTGGGGAATTGCTGAAGGAAAGGGGAGTACCAGGCAGAGGTAGGCAAAAGGAGAAAAACTGGGACAACTGTAATGACATAATCAATTAAATATACTTGAAAAAAGAAGAAAAATGAAACCAACTATAAAACAAGTTATTCTATCTCATATTTCCCTAAATTTTGATTTAGGTTATGATGAAGCCACTTGCAAGATCATAGAGTAAATTAAAAAAAAAACAGATCAAGGTTTTAAAAGAAAGAATGAGGGAGTGTTCATGGAGACCTAAAGGGGATTTGTTGGGAAGCAGAAGCAGAGAATAACAATGATAATAGTTTCTAATATTTGTGGACCTCCTGGCATGGTCAGAACGCACACCCTTCACAAACACGTCCTCACAACCACCTGTGCGACTGAGAACATCTAGGCACAGAGGCCTAAGGCAAGCTATCTGAGGTCACACAGTGAACTTGGAAAGGGGCCAGCAATAGGAGAGCGAAAAGCAACATCTCAGTCCCCACCCTGCATGCTGCCAGGAACCCACTGTGGCCCTGCACCCATAGCAGTCCCTAGCATGTAGTGGCTGGAGGTAGAACAGCCAGAGACAAGCGTGAGTCTAATACCCAGGCCTATGACTAGAGGTCACATAATCCACACCCAATTGTTGGTGCCCCAATGTGGCACACAAATCCTAAGGTGGCTCTAGTGATTTCCACCCCACAGTCCCTGCCCTTTTGTGATTCTATTCCCTTCAGTGTGGACAACATCTGTGACTCATTTCTAACCAATAGACTGTGGTGAAGGTGTTGGGATGTCACTCCCTTGATTGGATTACAGCTCCTCTGGCTGGCTTGATGAGTAAGCAACACGTTGAACAAGCCCACTTGGCAGGGAGCCTCTAGGAGTTTCACGTAGCCTCTAGAATCTGAGGATGACAGCAAAAATCCAGAACTGCAGTCACACAGCCACAAGGAAATGAACTTTGCAGACAACCTGAATGAGATCAGAAGCTGATTCTTCTTCAGTTGGCCCCTAGAGGACCAACTGACCCACACCTTGACCCACAGCCTTGGGAGATCCTGAGCAGAGGACCCAGTCAAGCCCTGTCTCCTAACACATGGAAACTGGAGAATTATGAATGTGAGTTTTTTAAAGCTCTAAATGTGTGTCAATTTGTTATGCCATGAAAGGCAACTCATACACTCACCCATATCCCTCAGCCCATCCTGAAGGCCCCTGCAGCTTCAGCAGTTACGTGGGTGGTTCCCATAGGCACCAATGGCTTCCTAACTCCTGTTAGGAGCCTGCTGGGCCAAGCATGGGGTGGGGGGTGGCTGGAAGCTGGGAAGTTGATGATGCCAGGGGAAATCTTTACCCACAAGGAGTGGGAGTAGAAGATAGATATCTAGCTTCCCCAGCCCAGGATGGTGCAACTCTGTGGCATTTTCTCCTCATTCTCTCAGAGGATCCCAGGGGCACTGAGCTCCAGGTGGGTAAGGCAGCAACCAGCTCATTAAAGCATCATTATCAGCTTACCCCACCTCCCTGCCTTGTTCTCCTTCACTTCAGATTCCTGAAATTATATACTTCAAATATTTTTTTAGCCCCACACTCCCTCTCTGTCTCCTGGGACTCTGAAGGCATAAATGTTAGACCTGTTGTTGTTCCATGGGTCCCTGAAATTTTTATCATTTTCCTCCAGTTTTCTCTGTTGTTCAGGTTAGAGAATGTCTATTGATCTGTCTTCAAGTTCACTGACTCCTTCCTCTGTTATCTCCATTCTGTTATTCAGTCCATCCACTGAGCCTTTTACTTTTGTTATTGTAGTTTTTAGTTCTAAGATTTCCATATGGTTGTTCTTTGTATCTTCTATCTCCTTGTTGAGACTTTCTATTTTGGTATTTGTTTTTAGGAGGACCCTAACTGAGACACCAGGGTTGCTAATTCAATGAGCTCCATTGAAAACAAAAATAAGGGGAAAGACCTTGGGGAGCTGCTGTAATGTAGGAGTTCTCACATGGGGTTGATGGAGAGGGACCTAATGATGGAGAGGTGACATTTCAGATGAAGCTGAATAACAAGAAGGAGGTGGACAAGTAAAAATATGGAGGAAGGGTATATTAGTTTCCTGTGGCTATTGGAATTTTTTACAATTTTTAAAGGCAAACTTAATGCCTTAAAACAATACAAATTTATAATCTTACTGTTCTGGAGACCAGAAGTCCAAAATGAGCCTTACTTGAGTCTTAAATGGCTTTGGGTGGTGGGGTAAGATAGGGGCA